AAAGTCAATTGGATCACCGATTAATCCGGATTCGAGTTGGGCAGGGTAATAAAATTCTTTCTCACGAGTTTTAACGAAATTGCAGTTACAGGATTTGAAATCAAGACTTCTCTGATTAAATTGAAAAAATCTCCTGTCAATTCATATATCGGCTCGTGAGTCCAAAGATTGACTTTATTGAAAAATAAATATGGTAATGTTGTTAAGTTCAGAATTGAAGTTTTAAATTTAAAAAAATTAATTTTTTAAAATTATTTATAAAAAAATTAATCTCAAGTTAACTTAAAGAGACTCTAACAATGAATAAAAAAAAAATTATATTATATGATATTAAACTTGTGAATACATATTAAATTAGAAAACTGACCTTAGATTTTGCTCTACCAATTGCTTTTAGCCACGAATTTGAGGAAATCCATGGTTTTAACCATTTAAGTCCTTTAAGCTTCAATTGCCTCAAGATATCTACGAGATGGCGTTAAAGTTGGGCAAAGAATATCAACATAATCACAAACACACAAAACCAGTGAATTGAACTAAATCCAAGCAAGGTGAGTAGGTGACCATTTACTCAACAAGTGGACTACCCCCCACTCCCTCCTCCCTGCCCCCAACAAACAAAATGGGATTAAAATAAGTTAAAAGAATATGAAAATAGTAAGAATTTATTAAGAGTCAAGTAAGCAATGGAAGGAAGGAAAGAACTTGGTTCTCCACCTACACAAGACACACATAACTTCCTATTAAGGGTAAAATCCTAGTAGCCCACTAACTAAACCACCCACCCACCCATCGCCCCATTCCCCAACCAAATGCTGCTTCATGTTCTACCTTTTCTGCATCTCTATAATTGCTCCTTTACGTGTAAAAGAAAAAGCATTTTTCCTCGTACAGTCCTTGGATCCCCCTATTGGACAAGGACACACACGGATCTCTTACTAATGAACAGGTATCCCCGCAGCTACCAAGGACCTGATTGAATTTTATTGCTCGACTTTAGTGATTGTATCATTGTATATGTATATATATATATATTATATAGCTAGCATTACCCCAAGTTCTTCATGCATGATGGTGGTGGTGGGGGCAAAATTTGTTTCTGACTCTGCTCAAATCATGCGTGCATAAATAGTTTATAAGAACATGAGTAAGAGGAGTTTTTGTAAAAGTATTGTTATAGTGGTGTCTTTTCTTGCTTCATAACTCCTCCCCTATTCATCAAATTGATGTCTTTTCAACAAGAAAAATGGTTAGTGTCATGTTTCCCAATATAGCATCTATTCTAGGAAAGTGAACTACCCTAGCTAATTATCTGCAACATATTTTTTGCAATACGTGTAACATCGTTTTGGTGTGAACAAAACATGGGAATTTTAATAAAAATTTAATGTGAAAAAGCTGTTCTTCTAGAAAAATCTAGTTCACCATGTCCAATACATATAACCGTTGAAATCGGAAGTGGTTTGAAGCTCTCGAGAATATTATTGTATCTATAATCTAAATGTTGTCATTTCATAAAAATCAACAGCCTAAATAATATTGTAAGTCAACTTACGGTGTTTAATTTAATTTGGTTAAAAATATATTAAATATAATAAAATTAAAAAATTAATACAATTTTACGTTAAATATTTAAATTTATTTTAAAATTTTAATTAAATTTTTGATTAAAATTTTAAATTTTTGTTGAAATAAATAAACCCTTAAATTTAGTAATTTAAATAATTTAATTTTTTTTACATACTTTACGTTTGTTTATTTTTTGTTTGTGTAAATAAAATATTAACATGTTATTACTTAAATCACTGATATTAATTTTATTCACACAAAAAAAAATACATCATATTTGTCATAAAAAAATTAACTTATTTGAATTATAAAATTTAAAATTTTATTTACTTTAATAAAAATTTAAAATAAATTTAATAACTTAATATAAGATTTTGCAAATGAATCACTTCCTCGTCATTGACCTAAAAAAAAATATAATTATATTTCTTTTTCCTTTTTTGCTTCTAAAAACAATAAAACCAAAGAGTATATATATGTCATCCCCTTTATGAGACAAAACATTAGGAATTTTCAACCACGTAGTGATAGTAACATTGAACGTATTCGTTGAGGCCACTTAGACGATAGAAGTCACAATTACAACTTTCTTAATCAATAAAGCTCAATTGGCCTCGCTACCGGCGTAAATGGGAGGCACCCACTCTCCTACACAGTTTTAGCTCTAATAAATGTTGACTTTTATTAGTAACTAAATATAATTTTATAAATTAAACTTTAAATTTTAAAATTAATATTTAATAAAATTTATTTATTTAAATAAATCATATCGTTCTACCTTGATACTTTATCATTTTTAAGCTTAATAATATATTTTGTTATTAGGGGGAAAAAAAAAGTATGCTAGTACCAATTAACAAATCTCAAAATAGACCAATATCAAAGTGAACATTTACTTTGTGTCTTTTAAGGATATGATTCTGATCATGTGTCGAACGATTGTTCAACGTTTATGGAAAAAAAATTGCTGCATATGAAGTAAGAAAAATAGCATATTCGACTTTGCTTATGCTGTAGCCTAAGTATAAACTTAAAATGCATTTAGATTCGAAATACTCGTAAAATCTTTTAGCAAATGAAAGAGAGAATCATGGAAGAAATTGGTCCCCCCACCAAGCTAGCCAGACTGATCAATTATCATCACAACCCACCATTAACAGAAGATATGACCAGAAACAGAAGGTAAGACCAAAAAGGAATACAATTCTCATGCGCAATAACAAAGAAATGGGCCATGCCATGCCATGGAAAATGAAGTCAAATCCCGTCACTCTCTTTAGTTTTTTTTTTTTTTTTCTATTCCCAGTGATACTATATGCTAAGCAGTTTTCAACTATAAATTGAGAAGGGTTTTGAATATTTTTTGCAAAAAATAAGAATTTTCTAATCATGTCCTATTACCAAACAAAGAATCGATCGTGGTTTTGATTGTCAAGTGTCAGCTTACGCATTTCGCGTTAAGTCAATTCTTCTTTGTTTGATTCTATTGCAAAGGAGAACATATTCAATTAGTCAATACATATATGTCGTGCTTTACATAAACACTTTAAAGACTGAAAAGAAATTAATGGGGGAATTGGTCTCTATTTTGCCAACTCATAATGTTACAATAAAGCTTAAATAATAATGAGCATCAAAGCATCCCATTCTATTCCACGCATCATTAATTCCTCCCTTTTTCTTTCTTATATGTTTTCTTTTCCCTTCAAATTAATTAATCCAATGAAAAGGCATTACCAGACCCATAATAACAAATTTACCCTAAATTATACAGCTAAGCAACACATAATCACTAATTTGCTTACCAAAAAAAATCAGCATAGTTAATTAGGTCAACTAAAAATGGAAAGGAATTGAGTTTTGCGATCTAACAACTATAAGTTGATTTGTAAAGGTATTTCATCCAATCCAAAATTAGGATTTAAATCGTTTGCGGTCAATTGTTAATTTGTTCAAAAACTAAAAACAGAAAGAAGTCAAATTTATAAAAGAGAGAACAAGTAAATAATCCTAAGGGTAAACTAAAGGTGAAGATTCAAAACCCTAGACATCTTCCCTTCTAAGATTCTCTTCTTCTTTTTCCATTTCGCTATCAGGATTTGCTTTCCGTTCCTTTTTTCAATATTATTAACAATGGTGGGGCTAAGAGGTTTACTCTTCCCGTTGAAGAGGTTAACAACATATATGCGAAAATGACATTGCCTTTAATTCTTATTTTCAATTTTGCTTTCTAGAACCAAAAAAAGTTTGCATTTTACTTTGATCCCAAATTTTTCCTCTACTAAATCTTAATCGAATTCCCTTTTAATGTCGCTCCGAATTCGAACTGTAATAAAAAATTCAAGTCAAAGTTATAAAATGATTAATATACTTTTTAATAATTTTTTTGATAAAATATTTTTAAGTTGTATTTGAAAAAATGTATTTGTATTTAAGATATGTATCTTAAATACATATATTTTAAAATATATTGTTTGGATTAAATAAAAAAATGAATTTAAATTATATGTATTTTAAAATACATTATTTAGATACATTACAATATTTTATATTTAAAATTGAATTTCATGTTAAATTAAATCATCTTTTACTCATTATTTAAATTGAATCTCTATTTTAATAAAAGAATTACATATGTTTTATATTTTCAAACATTCAAACATTATTTAAATTTTCTCAAAACTAAAAATTAAATATATTTTGATAAAAAAAAATATTAATCTCTTTACAAAGAAGAACACAATAGATTGATATAAGAGAGTTTAAAATATTAATTTGAAGTATTTGTAATAAAATTCTTGAATTTAATAAAAGTTATAAAAATAAAAAACTAATAAGATTTAAGAAAAAAATTAAAAAAATCAATACATAAAAAAACATTAAAAATATAAATACATTTTTTAATTCTCTAAATAGAGTACCCAACTGCAATCGACGAAATGTGGTCCAAGAATATTGTTAAGGATTTTGATGGAATATAAGAACTCATAGTTGAATTTCATGAATAAAAAAGTGTATTTAAAATACATATAATTTTAATTTTAAAATATATAATACCAAATATATATCTATTTAGATCAAATTCAAATATATTCTAACTAAATTTAAATTATCAAACAGACTATTAATAAATTTAATTTAAGCGGTATACATTATATATTAAAAATATTTAAGCTTTTTTTTTAAAAAAAAATCAATAGACTTTGACAAAGGTTCGTGGGTTAGGAGGTCATATCATGGGAGGAAAAGCAGAGCAATGTTTGGTATTTTGGGGGAAAAAAAGGGGTGAAAAGGCTAGCAAAAGCGAACAAAACAACACATCAAATCAAAAACCTTTTTGATCATCTTTCTCTGTAATGAAGCGTGCTGAATAGTTTGGGAAAGAAAGGAAAAAGGAAGAAACTTTGATGTGTAAAAAGTAGAGAGGCCCACATCTCTACTCCAATGCCATCGATGATGAAATATGAATGGTCTGTTTGTGGTGGTGGGTGGTGGGCGTGGGTGTGGGGTTATTCTACCGTCGCTTTCTACCTTTTACAATTTCGAACCCGTCCCATCCAGCCTCCGTGACTCGGCCAAACTCGGCGTTGAGTCTGTCGTTCTTGGCCCACTCCCAACTAAGTGGACTCAGCATCTGCTCCTCTCCATTTCCGATTACCAAACAGCAAAAAGATCTTAGATTTTTGTACAATCAGAGACAGAATCTATACTATTACTAACCCATCTGGTTTCTTCTTCCATTTCAAATTTCTTTTACTCTGTGCCCTGTTCCTGAGGTCCCCACGCCACCACCTCCAACAACAGTTCCTCTTTCTTCCCTCATTAAATAAATCATACCCACTTCACGTTTTCAATTGTGTTATTTTAATCTAAAAGTGTTGTTCGTCTGGAATAAACAAAGTTTTAATCTTTGTCTGTGTTCGTGGGTGTATATTCTTGGGTTTTTCATAATCTTTTATTGGGTATATATATAGATACATATATGCTCGCCGGCGATGCCGACGCCGGTGACAGTGGCCAAGCAAAGTTTGACTCTGGAAGCTGCCAACGCATTAGACGAGGCTGTGGGGGTTGCTCGCCGGAGGGGTCATGCTCAGACCACTTCACTTCACGCTGTGTCGGCGCTTCTATCACTTTCTTCTTCCCCACTTCGTGAGGCCTGCGCTCGGGCGCGGAACCTTGCGTACCCCCCGCGCCTCCAGTTCAAGGCGCTGGAGCTGTGCCTGAGCGTGTCACTAGACCGAGTGCCGTCAAGTCATCAGGTAGGGCACGAGCCTCCTGTGTCGAACTCGCTCATGGCGGCAATAAAACGGTCCCAGGCGAACCAGCGGAGGCAGCCTGAGAATTTCCACTTGTATCGCGATATCTCGCAGCAGAACCCGACCAATATCTCGTGCGTCAAAGTCGAGCTGCAGCACTTGATTTTATCGATTCTTGATGACCCGGTTGTCAGCCGGGTATTCGGTGAAGCGGGTTTCCGAAGCTCCGAATTAAAGCTCGCGATTATCCGACCGCTCCCCAACCTCCTCAGATACCCTCGGCACCGTGGCCCTCCAGTTTTCCTCTGCAATTTGGAGAATTCGAATGCAGACCACGACCGGCCCTCTGGTCGTCGGAGTTTTAGCTTCCCGTTCCCCAGTTTCGGCTCCTTTTTCGACGGAGAAGAGAATTGTAGGAGGATTGGTGATGTGTTAGCGCGGAGGAGGAATCCTCTGCTTGTGGGCATCTGCGCTCAGGACACGCTCACTAGCTTCGTAGAGTGCGTGGAGAAGAGAAAGGAGGGTATTTTGGCTGAGGATATTTCTGGGTTAAACGTAATCTGCATTGACAATGATGTTTCAAGGTGTATCAATGGAGATTTCGATAAAGGGTGTTTGGATTCGAAGTTTGAGGAGATGGGTCGGGTGCTGCAGCGAGATTTGGGACCTGGGTTAGTGGTGAATTATGGTGACTTGAAGCTGTTCCTCAGTGACAACAGGAAAAACGACGAAAATGATAAAGGTGGTGCAAGTGATCCGCCTAGCTACGTGGTTGCTCAGTTAACAAGATTGTTGCAGCTTCATGGGCAGAGAGTATGGCTGCTGGGTGCGGTGGCGAGCTACGAGACTTACATGAAGTTTGTAAGCAGATTTCCTTCAACTGAGAAAGACTGGAATTTGCAGATTTTGCCCATCACTTCTCTCAAGCCTTCACTGGCTGAGTCTTCCCCCAGATCAAGGTAATTTTCTAATATATCGTTCTTTTTGCTAATATAAAATATTATGTGCATGAGAATTAAGACTTTTGTTTGTTTCTATTAATTTACAATATATAAAGTTAGTTTTTGTCTTTAAATGAGTTGCTCAATTTAATAATAATAACAAGTGTTTTCCTGAGGCATGTTGTTTCCTGCTATGTTTGTGTTGTGTATAATATTTGTGAGTTTATACAACAATTGCGTTCATCTACATCTTGCTCTTTTGTTGCCACAAAATAATTACAGCTTGATGGGGTCATTTGTTCCTTTTGGTGGGTTCTTTTCCATGCCTCCTGAAATAAACGGGTCTTTAAGCAACCCTTATCAATGTACAATCCAGTGCCATTCATTCGATGAGAAGTGTGAACAAGATGTCCTTTCTATTTCAAAGGGAAGATCCAGTTTTCCAGTGGCAGATCGATACCAATCTAGCTTGCCTTCTTGGTTGCAGATGACAGAACTCAGCACAAGCAAGGGATTGGATGTGAAGGTGTGTACCACTAAAACCCTCCAAGTCCATGCTAAATTTTGCTACTTTTCCTTAGTTGTCATCATATTGGATGGTAACTCATACGTCTATTCTTTCATTGCAATCATGACTTATGGGGCCAACAGTTTGGAATTTGGATGTCAATTGCTAACTGACTCATGGATCATGCACCCACAACCACATGCCTAGTTCCTGTTTCTTTTAGTGCTAGACCTAGAAAAGAAGAGAAAGGATGTGGGGTGTTAAGGAATCTTTGTTGCAAAATTTTTTTGATAGGGTAGTGTTTATGTTTTCTCAGCAACCATTATGCCAACAGGATGTCATTCAAGGGAGGGACCATAAACTTCTGCTGGTTTAATATTTTTATTCCAAAAAGTTTGATGCTTATGTATTTTGACAATAATCATCTAATACAGTTTTGTTATGTTATATATAAAATCAAGTCAAGCAATAAGGACAGACTAGATCATTCTGTCACTATAAATTCAAGGATCCTTATGAAATTGATTTGATAACCAGTTTATCTCTCTTCAGTGCAGGCCAAAGATGATGGAATTACATTAAATGCCAAGGTAACTGGGCTACAAAGGAAGTGGGACACTAAATGCCAGCAAGTTCATCTTACTCATCCATTCCCTGAGTCAAAGACTAGTCAATTAAATTCTGAAATCTCTACTGTTGTGGGCTTCCAGTTCATTCAAGACAAGAAGGAAACTGCTGATAGTCATAGTGTTAACAACAGAAATGCACCGTCCAATGAAACTAATTGCAGGAATATCAACCCAATCATGCCTTTGAATTTGCAGAATGGGAGTTTCCTGTCCAAACCGAGAGAAAAACCTTCAAGAGGAGACAATCTTGAGACTGTTGGTTCTGTATCTCCTAGTAGTTTATGCAACTCATGTGTGGGCGATGGCAGTCAAGCATCTCCTGCATCTGTGACTTCTGTCACAACAGATTTAGGGTTGGGCTTATGTTCAGTTCTTTCAAGTGATGATTCAAAGAAAAAAACCAATCAAAATAATATATATCTTGGAAAGGACTTCTCGGGTTGCATTTGTGCAAATGTTGATTTCATCACTTGGGGTATATCTAACCATCCAGCTCAATCTTCATCCTCTTCGTCCCATGACTTTGGTGGACAGTTTGACGCAAATGAATACAAGATGCTTTTCAGAGCTCTTTCTGAAAGAGTTGGATGGCAAGACGAAGCTACACGTCTTATTAGTCAAACAGTAGTCAACTGCCGAACAAGAAATGAAAAATGTGATGGCGCAAGTCAAAGAGGAGATGTATGGTTCAATTTTATTGGACCTGATAGGTGTGGTAAAAAGAAGATTGCTATTGCGCTTGCTGAGATAATATCTGGAAGTAGAGATAACTTCATCTTTGTGGATCTAAGTTCTGAAGAAGGGACGATTCAGACATCCTCACTCTTTAATTGTGAGGAGATGAATCATGATTTAAGGTTTCGGGGGAAGAATGTTGTTGATTATGTTGCTGGGGAGCTGAGAAAAAGGCCATTGTCCATTGTCTTTCTTGAAAATGTAGATGAGGCTGATGTGCTGGTTCAGAGCAGCTTATCCCACGCTATTCATACTGGTAAACTTTCAGATTCACATGGAAGAGATGTCAGCACAAAGAATGCAATATTTGTTATGACTTCAGCATCAACAACAGAAAGCAAAGTTCTTTCTAATAGGATGGAAGTCTCTAATTATTCTGAGGACAAAATATTGAGAGCCAAGGGCTGTCCAATGCGGATACTGGTTGAGTGCATGGAAAACACCAATAACCAAAACTTGGCTGAAGCTATCACGGCTGGCAAAGGTACCTCTAATCTCAGTTTTGTGAATAAAAGGAAGCTGATTGGCACTGATGAAGTTCTAGAGCAACATGAGCTCAAGGAGATGACGAAAAGGGCAAACAGGACATCTAGTAGGAAACTGGATCTAAATGTTTCAGCTGAAGAGGATGAACTGCGAGAGACAGAAGATGGAAATGTTGACAATGACTCCTTATGTTATTCCAAGCCTTGGTTGCAAAGTTTCCCTGGTCAAGTGGATAAAAACATGGTCAAGGTGGTTTTCAAGCCATTTGATTTTGATGCACTTGCAGAAAAACTACTGAACCAAGTTGCTGAGAGCTTCCACAAAATTATTGGCCCAGAATGTTTGTTAGACATTGACCCAAAAGTTATGGACCAATTGCTTGCAGCTGCATATATATCAGACAGCAACACAGCCATCGAAGATTGGGTGAAACAAGTTCTTAGCAGCGGATTTGCAGAAGTTCAGAAGAGATACAACGTGACTGCTCACTCTGTTGTGAAACTTCTTATCTGTGAAGGTCTTCCCTTTGAGAAGCAAACACCCGGAGTTCACCTTCCCCAGAAAATCATTCTGACATGATATTTTCAGTAATCCTTATAATTTTATTTATACTGAGGTATTTAGTGTGTAGTGCACCCATTTTGGCCAGTTAATCCTACAGGCTTTCGTTTTGGGTTTTCAGGCTCTTAGGTAGCATGTTATATTTGTATAATAACAATAATGTAAAATGTGTAGTTTAAGATCAAATTCTGTTTCAATAGGAAAATGACACTTCAATATTAGCTCGAGATGTTGAGGTGTCTTTCATGTAATGCGGCGTTCGCTTGATTTGGCAAAATTTCTCAATCCCCATATGATTTCACCTTGCTTGTTACCACACGGAGGATTGTTACTTAGAACCACACTTAAATTATCATTTTATTCACATATGCTAAGAAATTATATAAATAAATGACAAACATGATAAAAGATAAAAATGGTAATTTAACAATGTAGAAGACATTGTTTGTATGGCTTTAACAATTGCTCTTGTGACAATAACCGGGGCCATATGATTTCCCATGGTTGTATTGTATATAATTAAATAAATGCTTAATTAAAATTTAGGAAAAGAATAATTTTCAGAAGATTATATTAAAAAGAATAATGGGCCTAGGAAATCCAGTACAAAAAACTCCCAAAAGCCCAAAACAGGCCCAAAAAAGCCCATTTCGATGTACAAAATCTCTGACACCAAACTGACAAATCCCTTGCTTTCTCCTTTTCTCTGTTTGTTTTCGTACGCCTGACGCTTCTTTGAATCGATCCACCCGTCCGGCCGTCGTCACCTCCGCCTGTAACTACCGATCCGTTTCACAGAATCCGTATACGCACCCCGAAACACTTAACGCATATTTATACGTATCTATGGCTTCGATTTCTTCGAGTCCTCGAAGTGTAGAGGACATATTCAAAGACTACACCGCTCGTCGGTCTTCTCTGGTTCGCGCTCTAACCAGCGGTACTTTCTCTCCCCGGAACCCTAACTCTCTGTTGATGTTTACTGATGTGTGCATGCGTTTTGATTCTGCTTTGTTGATTTATGTTGTGCTTGTGCTCTGTTTCAGATGTGGATGATTTCTACGTGCAATGTGATCCAGGTAAGTTTTACTTTTCTACTTTTGCTTCTTTTTTCCTTTTTTTTTTCGGGGGAATTCAAGGGAAGTTGGGGAGTAATTGTTTGCGTGTGAGAGGTTGGTAGTGAGCTTAAGCGCTGTAAATAGTGGATTATATGAACTTAAGTGGTCCGTCTTGATCAAGGCCTTTCGAGTTAAATGGCTGGTTAGGTTTTATAAAGGAGGAACTTTTATTGGCTAAATAGGCAATTCACTTAAAAAGGAGAAACTTTATTCAGGTATGATAGTTTTCATCTCAGTTGTGCTTTGTACCATTTAAAAGGTTGATAATTCAAAGTTGGTTTTCCTTTCTGATTCAGAGTCTTCCTTTCCAATCAGATATGATTGTGTTTCTTTTTTTTTCCTCTTAAACAAGGGTGATCATGGTTTGGTTGCTGAGAAAATATAAGTAAAAATGGAGATTAATTTTGTTCACAATTTTACTTGTGAGAGACATTTATATTTGATATTTTATTTACACCTGGAGAATTGAAAGCTTAGAATTGAAGTTTTTTTTTTCTCCTCAATTCTTTTTCTTATGGCTTCCTAGATGTCAAATGAGCATTGCAGTTTGGTTTCTGCTTTGTTTTTAGTTCTAGAGCTTGTGATTTTGATTTTGGCCTTTCAATTCAAATGTAATGGTGCTTTTTCTTGTTTTTTTGAAGAGGGGAATTTATGTCTGGTCCCTAAGGTAGCTTAAATAAGGCGAGCAATATTTATTCAGGTGTAATACATTCAACATTGCAAATGGACTATTATTGTTGACACCTGCCTTCTATTGGGCCTCAGGTTTGCAATTTAATCATGGCCTTGCAATTTAAATTATTTTTTGTTATCTCTTAGAGAAGGAGAATTTGTGTTTATACGGGCACCCCAATGAGTCATGGGAGGTGGCTCTGCCAGCAGAGGAAGTTCCACCAGAGCTCCCTGAGCCAGCCTTGGGGATTAATTTTGCAAGAGATGGAATGCATCGTAAAGACTGGCTTTCACTGGTTGCTGTGCATAGTGATTGTTGGTTGCTCTCTGTGGCTTTCTACTTTGGTGCTCGTCTTAATCGCAATGATAGGTAAATTCTTCTGCCATTTATTCTTGCTCTGCTGTTACTTTGAATTGTGAGTGTTATATGTATAACATTCACAATTCAAAGTAACAGCAGAGATAGGTAAATTGTGAATGTTCATTATGTTTTCTTTCATATTTGTGGGATTGTCACTGTCAGCCTCCCAATAACTGGAGGGGATTATGAATAACTTGCATTTAAAAAGAAAAAAAAACCATAATAATAAGAACACAAGAGAGAACTGCTAAAACTTTGAATGAATAAATGAGTCATTATATGGTGAAGTTTATATTGAAATATTTACTAGTTGCTAGGCCAATTGTAGAAATGACAACCACTTATCTGGTGCATTTATACCATAGAGGTCTCAAATTTTCTTCTGTACTAACTGATGGATTTTAACTAGGCAGTTTGGAATCCATTATGACTGGCTTGCGTCTTTTAATTGAATGCACTGTAGGGTGCTTACCAACAAGGTGGATTCTCCGCAACACCAATGTTTTTAACCTTTCCCATCCTACCAAAGCATTGTTAAAGCCATTTCTTTAATGTTTTTCCATATTGGTCCTTGTATCAGTTTGAAATCAACCTACTAAAAGTTGCCAATATGGTGACCAAAATCTACTGTCCCCAGTTTGGAGGATCCTTTGAGAACTATTTTTTAATATGGAGTTTTTGTTCTTTAATCTGTGAAGGAGCTTTGAACGTCCTTTCCTCATTCAAATGGGGATGCCCCTTATGCCTATCATCTTCGTATGTCATGCACATGGGATTAATTTTTAATGCTAATGAAAGAATCAGGCTTTTAACCTGACTGCAGTCCAAGAACTTAAGGGCCAATATGATTGATAGAATTTCCCTGATAGTTTGTCGTGTGCCCTTGCGTGTAGAAGGAAAATGCTAATCTGGATCCATTACCAGCTATTGCTCTCCCACCTCAACCTCCTTTTAATGTGTATATATACTGCATTTACTCTGAGTTGACTTGCTCGTGGGAATATAAATCATTAGTTTTATGATTTTTTGCTCGATAGGAAGCGACTATTTAGCATGATAAATGATCTGCCAACTGTATTTGAAGTTGTTACTGGAAGGAAGCCTGTAAAAGACAAGCCCCCAGTGGAGAGCGGAAGCAAAGCCAGAAACAGTGCAAAGGTGAGTTTTTTCATCTTCATGCTTCTAATGATGGAAGTCTACAAACTCTTAAATTCAGATTTTATTATTGCATTACAAGATTGTTGTTTCCCTTGTTTATCTTGAGGTTAGGGTTTAACCTCTGCTTTTCAGAGATCAATTGATGGACAGCCAAAAGGCGATTCCAAGTTAATTGAAGAAAGCTACAATGATGATGAAGATGAACACGGTGATACCCTTTGTGGGAGCTGCGGGGGAAGTTACAATTCCGATGAGTTTTGGATTGGTTGTGATATCTGCGAACGGTGGTACCACGGAAAATGTGTGAAGATAACACCAGCAAAGGCAGAAATGATCAAGCAATACAAATGCCCTTCCTGCAGCACAAAGAAGGGAAGACAGTAGACTAACCTTATCCATTTTATCACTAATGTTGTTGTAAATTGACAATGTTTGTATTTCCTTTGTCAAATTGAATGTCAATCCAATATTGTTTTTTGTTTAGGTACATGAATAACACGTAGTTGCATACAAATCGATGATTCCATAGGGCTTGGGAAGCTATACTTTGTGTAGTTCCATGCTACTTAACTGGTCATGTTTGTTTGTGTGTTTTTTTTTTTTTTAAACAGAGTTAACTTGTCATGTTGTCTGGCATTAGTCAATGCTGTCTTTATATATATATATATATATATATATATATATATATATTATATAGCTAGCATTACCCCAAGTTCTTCATGCATGATGGTGGTGGTGGGGGCAAAATTTGTTTCTGACTCTGCTCAAATCATGCGTGCATAAATAGTTTATAAGAACATGAGTAAGAGGAGTTTTTGTAAAAGTATTGTTATAGTGGTGTCTTTTCTTGCTTCATAACTCCTCCCCTATTCATCAAATTGATGTCTTTTCAACAAGAAAAATGGTTAGTGTCATGTTTCCCAATATAGCATCTATTCTAGGAAAGTGAACTACCCTAGCTAATTATCTGCAACATATTTTTTGCAATACGTGTAACATCGTTTTGGTGTGAACAAAACATGGGAATTTTAATAAAAAATTTAATGTGAAAAAGCTGTTCTTCTAGAAAAATCTAGTTCACCATGTCCAATACATATAACCGTTGAAATCGGAAGTGGTTTGAAGCTCTCGAGAATATTATTGTATCTATAATCTAAATGTTGTCATTTCATAAAAATCAACAGCCTAAATAATATTGTAAGTCAACTTACGGTGTTTAATTTAATTTGGTTAAAAATATATTAAATATAATAAAAT